GTCTCGGAGGTATACAGCCATTACTTATTAGGGAAGGGGAAAAAATAATCATAGGATAATAAATCAGTTTATCTACAGGTAGTATTTAACTTTCAACCATTCAAAGTTACAATGGCCCTGAAAAAAATGACTGATGACCATTTTTTCATGCTTATGACACAGCATCCCCATGATCAAAATTTGGATGCTTGGCAACTGACATAGTCACCTTTTGTCACATTCTGACAAGCAAAGTCAAAGAGAAAGCCAGATTGACTTAACAACTGTGTTACTAACACAGCTGCAACAATTCACTTAACAACTGTGGCAAAGAAAAGTCACAAAATGGGGCAAAACTCACTTACCTGTACTTTAAAATTGTTTGCAGTTGCATAACTTAGGTGAAAAATATTGGCTACCTTATAGGGGAGTGTAAGGGTTAGCGTCCTTTAAAAAATAATAAGCATGAAATTTATGTCTATAGAGGTTCTCAGTCATCCAGGTCATGGATATCCCAAAGGTGTTTTTTTCAGGAGGCAACTGGAATTTCTTGTTTTTCTTTGAAGATGTTTCTCTTTTCATCCAAGAAGCTTCTTCAGCTCTGACTGGATGGTGGGGAGTGGAAGGATTTATACTCCTTGTAGACAGCTGGTCATTTGCATTCTTTTGGGGAGTCATTGAGGCCACTTGGAGGTTTATACAGGGACACAGGGTGGAAAAAATCCTGCAGCCAAGAAGGCTCCACACACATTTGCACCACTCAGGTGACCCTGAGGACACAGGTAAACCCCCAAGTGGCCTCAACGACTCTCTAAAAGAAGGCAAATGACCAGCTGTTTGCAAGGAGTATAAATCCTGCCATTCCCCACCATCCAGTCAGAGCTGAAGAAGCTTCTTGGATGAGAAGCAAAGTGTCTTCAAAGAAAAACAAGAAAGTCCAGTTGCCTGCTGAAAAAAAGCACCTTTGGGACATAAAATTTATCTGCATGGCTTCTGTATCTGGAAATATTTGCGAGCATTGGAGCACATCTTGGGGCATCATAGAAAGGGTACCATATGGGAACATGGGCTTCTGTGTAATTACGTTGTTTATGAAACTCAGTTTGTCGGGAGCAGAGGAAACCTGCTAGCTGGCTTGCAATAAGGAAAATGTCCACCTTCAAACTTGCAACCATGAGGTTGTCTAAATTCGATAATGCAGAGCTCTGTATACTTAAATATATTTATATAAAACTTTCTTAGCAAAGCCAGTTCCCCAGGCATTTTCTTATGCACCAGTGGAAATGCAAAACATAAGAAAATTAGCTGGATCCATCTAACAGTTTACAAGACATTCTGCTTCAACTCAGTTGTTCCTGGACTATCTTTTCTTGTCTCCATTATTTCGGTGCAGGATGAGCTGGTGAGCTGGTTACACACCACCCTTAGGTTATAATAAAGAGAGGTTTGGGGTTCCTGGTGGGGTATCACACATGATCTCATTGTCTGCAATCCCTGATGAGGTCATTGGTATTTTACTTTCTCCGGTCTTACTCCGGGGAGGATGCCAGCAACCCTGTCAGCAGCTCACCAGCTTTGAATTCTTCTTAGTCTAGAATCACCTAAAGATCATGATATCTCAAACAGAGCTAGTCCAAATATTTGATGATCTTTAGGGATTCTTATTCTTACTATCCACAAGAATAGGGATTCTTGTGTGTTGCCACAAAGAAGAGGGAGTCAAGCTATTCTCCAAGGTGCCTGAAGGTAGGACAAGAAGCAATGGGTGGAAACTAACCAAGGAGAGAAGCAACCTGGAACTAAGGAGAAACTGCCTGACAGTTAGAACAATTAACCAGTGGAACAACCTGCCTCCAGAAGCGGTGAATGCGCCAACACTGGAGGTTTTTAAGAAGAGATTGGACAACCATTTGTCTGAAATGGTATAGGGCAGTGTTTCTCAACCTTGACAATTTTAAGGCATGTGGACTTCAACTCCCAGAATTCCACAGCCAGCAATGCTGGCTGTGGAATTCTGGGAGTTGAAGTCCACATGCCTTAAAATTGTCAAGGTTGAGAAACACCGGTATAGGGTTTCCTGCCTGAGCAGAGGGGTGGACTAGAAGACCTCCAAGATCCCTTCCAACTCTGTTATATTGGTGCCCATGAGGTCACCCATAGACACCAAGGCCACAGATTGAATGAATAAACAGATTGCAAAAGCAGTTTCACATTGAATAGGTCTGTTCACCTTGAGAGGTTATGGATGCAAATGCAGAATTATCACAACTGCAAAATGGGTTTTGTGCAACTTATGATAGTAAGAACATGTCTAATCCAATCTAATATCTGGGTCCTAATTGTGGACGAGTAATTTCAAGGTTTATTTTATTTTTTAATATATATTTAGGATTGTTTAGCTATAGACTGCACTTGGATGTTTTCAAGTGCTTTGAGATAAGGAATATTTCTGTTAATGTGAATATTCTGTTTCATTTAGTTAATGCTATGCAAGCCATATAAATGTCATTACATATAATTTAAGACAGCATGTTACAATGCAATTTTCTTTCCATGCATAGGTGAAACAAACACCTGTCCCTTCTGAAACCTTATCCTTTTAGATTTCATGATCTATTTTATAATATAATGTTGGCAAGAGTCTGGCCTTTGCTTTACTTTTATCGCTTGCGTTTCTGAGTGTTTTAATTTCTAGAGATAATTTTGTCTGGGACTCATTTAAAAAAAATAAATAAAAGAAGGCAAAGATCTAGAAACCACAAAATTGTACGTGTTGGTTCAATTAGCAACTTTTTTTTTATCCCTACAGAGGATGTTTTTCTACTAGAAACAGAGAACCCCAGAACAACACTTATATATGGCATTTTCACCACTTCCAGGTAATCCTCCCTATCTATTTTCAGAAAAACCTCAAAATAAGATTTTCATGGGTGCGAAAGACGTTGTTATACAGCGATGTGATTCCTACTAAGATGTATCTCTAAGTATGTTGTGTGGTGTTTTACAGGATGTTCTTAAATGTTCTTAGACCTGATGTTCTTAGATCTATAGAATATTCTCAGGAAGGTATAATATTAAAGGCAATTGTTTGCAACATTGCCAGAAAATAAATTACCATGCTACGCCATGCTTATTTGGCAGTGATTTTTTTTAAAATATATAATAACATCTGCATCTCCTCATCAAAGATGGCATTACCAAAAACTATGAGATATTGATTAGTGTTTCTTGCAGATGTAGAAGAAATATGTATAATTTTTTTGATTAACATTGTAATGTTTACACTTCCTGGAGATTTCACACAGGGAAATAAAGTTATATGTAAACAACTTCATTTTTCCCAAATTTCTGGGACACACTTCCCAAGTAGATAAATCCATACTAAGTGTGCATTTTAATGAGCCAGGCACAGAAAACCACATTATATAAAGGGGGGGGGGAACCCACAAAATGGGGCTACACTCTTAGAAGCACTTTGTACAAACATGTGCTTTGAATCTGATGTGGATTGGAACAATCCTTATGAAAATACTGGAATTCTTGTGAAACGTTTTGCAAGGACATTTTTCAAAGGGAAAACGAGCTTTAATATTGAAAGGAGACACAGCAAAAGGAAAGTTAGAAAAAAAAAGAAAGAAAGAAAAACACACATAACAAAAAAAAAAAGCACAATAGTCTCAATCCTGAATTCTTTCAGAGTCCTTCTTAAAAACATTGATTGGATGCTTTCTCTGGCCTATACAAATGATATTAAAACAATGCATTATACGTTTCTAAAAAGTCTTGCCATTTCTGTCTGAAAAGACTGCATGACTGCACTTTTTTTTTTTTTTTTTACTATTGCTTACCCTGTTGGTGTCACTTTAAAAATTCTCTTTGAATTTGGGAAAAAAAAATTTTTTTTAGTGTTTGGGGTACTATTGCTTTCCTGTGCTATATACCGGTAGTACTGTAGCTATTTTCTTACACAGGGGAAAAAAAATAAAACTCTGCAAATACTAAGGGGAAAAAATAGTAACCATGTCAGTAGCTTTTCAAAAAAAAATATCAGCCATCTGCTTTCACCTCACTGCTATTTTTCAAGGATATCCATAGCAATTTTTCTAATGCATACCAGAAATAATAATTCATTCTTTCTTCTTCTTCTTCTTCTTCTTCTTCTTCTTCTTCTTCTTCTTCTTCTTCTTCTTCTTCTTCTTCTTCTTCTTCTTCTTCTTCTTCTTCTTCTTCTTCTTCTTCTTCTTCTTCTTCTTCTT